GATGGTATATACATATTATGTACATTTATTTCCACCAGGGGCGCCTGCGCATTACCTTCCTAGTACAGCTGGTTTTTCGGCAACTGATTTTTGAACGACTTATGCTTTTTTTTTTAATATTTCATAATTAAATGAGCATTATGAGTCGTGCACTTTTGGATTTTCCAAACTTTTTCAAATTTGAACTCCAAATTTATTCAATTGACTTTTACAATAGCCTTGAATATTTTTAATTTCACACACACACACTTATACAATATCAAAAATATACTTAATCCTAACAGTACCCTCTGAGGGAGCGTCTATACTGTAGTTTCTATCAAAAGTTACTAATCCTAACAGCACCCTCATATGGAGCGTCTATGCCGTAGTTTCTATCATAGTCCCTATTCCTGACAGTACCCTCATATGGAGCGTCTATACCGCAGTTTCTACATAAATCGCGCTGTCCACCAGACCCTCACGATCTATGACTCTAGATCTGAACTTGGGTGGTCACCCGGACCCCTGCCCAAAGTTCAAACCGTCCTTAGCCCTTTCGCTTTTGCCCGGACCCTCACTACGGGACTAAGGAACTTGAAGTCGACTAAGACAGAGGAGGATACCATGAACTTAGTCGACAACCCGCTAATACTAACCTCCTCGACAGCCCGTGAATGAGGAGTATATAATGTAAATTATTTCCACACACACACTATTTAATGAAACAATTTATCCAATTATCACACTATTTTTAATTACAATATTAAAATAACTCACTGTAAGCGACGCTATTCTTATTGCCGAGACTGAAGGCTGTCGAGTATCGTGAGGCCCGAGATCTGTGATGTAAGGTCTTACCCCCAGCCCGTGACAAGACTCGCCCCCACTCAACGAGGGTTGAGAGGACTAGGAGAGAGATTGTTAGGGGCATTCCGACACCACCTTTCATGAGGACCTCACGCGATGGGTCCTAGTACAACGTCACCCAGTCATTGTCATCCTTTAATTATATTGGCTTTTATAGCTGTCTCATTCCGTAGTCATTGTCGGGTTATTACTTGAAGATGTATAAATAAATATGAGTGGTATATAAAATATAAACCTCGAGTCTTACAGATCAAAAGTGGGATTGGAAATCGGTGTTTCGTGGAAAGTGTGGTGTATTAGTGTTATAATGAGTTATAATATATTAATTATAATTGAGAAGTTATTGTTAGTGCAAATATTGTGGTTTCGCATCAGTTTCAAGGTCATTATGTTGAGTGCTGGGACAACCCTACTCAATCCTCAAATTTGGCTACTTCGTAGATAGATCACCCCAGGTCATGTTACTACATTTTCGAAAATTGCAACTTCTCTGAAAATCAAAGTAGTTAAGAACATCCATAGCTGCGGTCGAGATAGGCTTCGTAGAGGCGTCGTACTCACAGAAGGAACCAGGACTGAAGCATCTGGAGAAGGTGGAATGATGATGAAGCAGAACAACTCAATGGTGAGCTGTTTTGCAACTGAGACTGCATTCTCCGCGAGTTCACCAGCAATCAGGTGCAGAGAATGGATGATGAGTTTAACGCAAAAGAAGTTACTGGATTCAACGTCAGAGTGATATCAACAACGGATGATTACGATGAAATGGTTCACCAGCAAATGAAGAATCAGGGCCTTAAGCTGGTCAACTCATTATCGCTCATTTGGTAATACGACACTGAGTGTCATGGTTATAATGAACGATAAATTCGGTAATGTAGAAGTTGAAAGTAATTAATTATAATACAACTTGAGTTAGTATATTAAAAGGTATAATCAAGTAGGCTTAGTAATGCTTGCTCGATAATAAGTAAAGTGTTATTGAAAGTAGTAATTGTAATATCATGAAGAATAGTAAATTAATAAATAATGAAGCAGAACTCCGAATTACGCATACCGGAGGTAGCATTGATATACTTGCGCGAGCAAGTAGTGAATACTTGCTAAGCGGTTACAAAGAATGTTGTCGCGGTTGTAAGTAACTATACATTTCCAAAATAACGAAGCAGTAGTCTCAATCAGAATCACAATATAATCTAGTAACGCCTTGATTGTTAATTGTTACAATTGGATATAAGTTAACTATAAAAGAGTAGAATGATTGATTTTATTAATGTAGAGTTATTGCAAATTGCAAAGATTAACGATTCGGAAAACGAACTTATTGTTAGGTATAGTTAGTATATATACTCGAATCTGATTGAAAAATAATGAATAAGCATGTTAATAATATATATATATATATATATATATATATATATATATATATATATATATAAAATATATGACGCAAAGTTAAAGAAATTATCGTTAACAAAACTATAAAATACAATCTGGTGGTCACATATATTTTGTGAACAATAAACAAAGGAGAAAGTAGAAACTAGTAAATATTTATAACGTAGAAATTCGAAATGCCTAAATAACATATGTTGGTATAAAAGTGTTTTTAGTTAAAGTCTTTGAAAAGTTCAAAACATCCTTTTCGTTAGTCGTTGAAAATAAATATTACGCGTGTTGCCAGTAACTCAATAAGTAAAATTCATTGTTGGTAGAAAAATTATGTTAAGTCGAGTTTAAGAAAATTTTAAAAACATAACACCAAATATATGGTTTCAAGGACATAGTATTAGAATTACTATACGAGGGAATCTCGGGTTTAGTTTTCTCAAAGCGAGTCTTTTTCTCACAAGAAACTCTTATCTTGTTTTATTGCCTTACTGTAAGTAATAAAAAAGACTATTCGGCAGCCGAAATGGAATTAGATTTTTCAAATGAAGAAAAATGATTTTTAATAAAATAATATAATAACACTAATAATGTATACCTTAATTCATGAATTAAAAACAAAATTTAATAATAAATTTAAAACGATTTAGAACAGATTTTGAGAAAAAAAAAATTAACTTGTGAAGAAAAAGTTTCTCAAATATTTACCAAAGAATTGCAAAGACTATAAAATTTGAATTATAAATGACCAAATTTTAAGTCACTGCTTAGGAATAACAGTTTGCAAATCAATCAGAATTTTGAAACCGGATAAAATTTGAATTGAAGAAAACAATATATAGAACTAATTTGTGACATATTTACTGACGCATTACCCGAAAAGATTACACGAAAGACTGATTATTATCCTAATTATTGAATTGACATCATGATGAAGCTATGATGCAGACAATAATTCTAAAACGGCTGCAACAGTAAAACTGTTTTATTAAACGAACTCTAAAAGAAGTAATATTGAGGCTATTACCACTTCTAAGTAGTGAAAATTGAAGCTTATTAAAAGAGCTTTACGATGCATTTTACCGAATGTTGATATTTTGTCTATCATTTCAAAATTTTCGTTTACAAATTTATCTTTTAATTTTTCGTTCACATTCTAAGTTTTATCATCTTTTCAAAATAAATTTAAATTTACGTTCTCAAATTAAATTTTCTTTACTTTCAAGAATTGATCTAAATTTTCGTTTACAAATTTTCATCTACCGAAAGGTATTTCTGTATTCTAAAAGTTAATTTCACCTTTAGTTTTATAAATTTTACTTTCTTTTTAAAATTGATTCAAATTTACGTTCTCAAACTAATTTTTCTATATTCTGAAAATTACTTTAAATTTTTCGTTTACAAGATATTTTGTTGATCTACTTTCAAAAAATTACTTTAGATTTTTCGTTCACAAATTAAACTTTCCTTTTCTAGAAATTAAGCATCAAGTTTCTATTCTCAAATCTATTTTATTGCGTTTAAAAAAAAATAATTTAAAAATTTTGCGTCTATAAATTTACTTTTTCAATTTTTCGTTCACATTCAATTTTACGTTTTATCATAATTAATCTAAATTTACATTCACAAATTAATTTTTCTTATTTCTCAAAAGTTGATTTAAATTTTTTTGTTTATAAATCATTTTAACTTTTTCCTCAAATTATTTCAAATTTTTCGTTCTTAAATTATTTTGACTGTACTTAAAAAAAAAATTACTTTGGTTTTTTTTTTTGTTCACAAATAAAATCTTCTATTCTCAAAATTACTTAAAATTTTTCGTTTACCAATTATTTTATTGATGTACTTTCAAAAATGACCTTAAGTGTTTCGGTCATAAATTATTTATATTTCTAAAAATTACCTTAAATATTTCATTTATAAATTAATTTTCTTGTGTTCTCAAAAAAAAATTTATTCTCAAATTATTTCTATTAATTCTTCAAAATTATTTCAAATTTTTCGCTCTTGAATTATTTTTGCTGTATTTTCAAAAAAAATTACTTTACATTTTTCGTTCACATTCAATTTTACCTTTCAATTGTTCGTTTACTCAAAATAAATTTAAATTTACGTTTACAAATTATTTTAGCTGTTTTCTCAAAATAAATTTAAATTTACGTTCTCAAATTAATTTCTACTGTAATATGAAAAATTACTTTAAATTTTTCAATGACAAATTTGTAAAAATCATTCTGAGTTTTAAGCTGCCATAGCAGCTGGAGTAAGTACCCTTTTGAACAGTCCTTTCAATTTTACCGTTAGTTTCCCTGTTTTCGATCTAGCTCCTAATTCGTGGATTTTTAAATCAAAATTATTCGTGTTCGTCCTTTTTGTCCAGTAAACTTGTCTTGTGTTTGTGAACCTACTTTTAAGTCGTGTGTCGCTTAATTTCTGTATTTGTAAGCCTTCGTCGTCAGGCTGTCTATTTTTGTATGAAAAGCGTATCGTATTGTCGTTTTTCTCTAATAGATCTTTCGTTACTGTATTGTTCGATTTCACTGTTCCTTTTTTAGTTGGCTCATTGATGTCTTCAATCAAGCCATCTGACTCACTGGAGCTGTCTTCTCCAATTGAGGAGTCAAATTCCGAATTGACATCGGGGTCCAATAAAGGGGTCACCTCGTGTGGGCTGATCCTCCTTTCCTTGAATTTCACCCGATGCTTACGTGGTCTACCCCTCCTTGTTTTAGGGGCATCCGTAACATCGTTTTTCTGTAATGAAGTTTTCCGAACTTCTATTACAGACTCCTTTTCCTGCAGAGAAGTCTTCGGTGTTTCTGCTGCAGGTTCTTTTTTCTGCAGAAAAGCATTCTGAACTTCTACTGCAGGTTCTGTGAAACGATCTATTACCTTCTGTACTATCTCTACTGTCTGTACTTCTAAATTTTCTATCGACTTTCCTGACTCACTGGTGGACGTCTCGTAGCCAGTGTCGGAGTCAAGCTCTCGGAAATTATCTGTTACTTTTTCAGTGTTAACTATTTCGCGATAAATATTAGATTGAATGATTTGTGGGCATTCTTTCGCGGTATGCCCTATACTATCACAAATCTGACACGCTTCGGTCGTATTTGTAAAATTTTCAAAGTTCCCTATTGTTCTATTTTTAACATTCGATGTCTTTGTTCCGTTTCTAATTTCTCGACGCATTTTTAATTTTCTTTCTATTCTAATCGCGTTGGTTAAAGCTTCTTCAATATTATCACAAATCGGCATTCGCTCATCAATTTCATTATTCAAATTTTGTGTAAAAACTTCTAAAATTGCAGTATCTACCGTTGTTTTAAAATTCAAAATTGCTTCCGCGCTCAAATTCGAATAATAGCCTGAATGGCATTCTATTATTTCTCTACTTTTCTTCTTATTCGATTCAAGAAATCTATAACCGGTTCGTCTGTTTGTTGATACGTACAACCTAACTCACCTTGTAGCTGATAAATTGACTTTGACGAAACGTAAATTCTTTTCAAAGCTTTAACTAGACCTTCAATCGTAATAGGTATGACGTGATTTAGCGATAGTTTAACGTTGCTACTTAATTTCGCGAGGTAAATTAATTTTGCGAGATTCGCTTCTGCAGCCTCTGGCATAATTTGTTTCGCGTCTTGACAACAACTAATAAAATCTATCAATTCGTCCGAGTCTCCCTTAAAACGAGGTACGAAGGTAAGTGCGTCATGTAACGATATGTTTTGACTGTCTGTTAGTTCCATATCGTTAACGTGTTAAATGTCTAAATTTGTCCCTAGTGTTTGATGGTAAACCCTCGGCAAGGGTGCTTGCTCATGTCCTCTCAGAAAAATTTTAACAAATATTCATTCTACTCTTTTTTAAACTTACTGAAATTATCGCGGGTAATTTCAGAAAAATTTCGAATCACAAAATTTTAGATGTAAATTAAATTTGCGTACACATTCACAAATTTTAAAATGTAAATAATATTCACATGCACTTTCATGAATTATGAGAGAAAATTATTAACCTCACTGGTATTCGTCAAATAAAAAGAACACGTGCTTTTTATTTCTATTAAAACGATTCTTCAAATTCTCTATTAATTTTCCTTTAAAATTTCTCGTATGATTCTACTTTTTCAACAATACAAAATCTCGGTTTCTTCTTGAAAAATAAAAACTAAATTCTCAATTAATTTTTCTTTAAAAATTTCCCTGATAACTCTACCTTCTCAACAAACAACTTCGGTGTCTTTATCACGATTCAATTATTTCCTCTAAATTCTCAAAAATTTTCTTTAAAAATTTCCCTGATAACTCTACCTTCTTAACAAACAACTTCGGGGCCCCTGTTCGAGCGCCAAAAATGTTATGTAAAAAATATTAATTTAGGGTAATTAATTAATTTTACATTTAAAATATTTAATATGTTTAAGTATTTGATCTTAGCGTGTTAGGCTAATAGACCGGGAACTTCCGAGTTTTAATTTATTGAGAAAGATAGGTTTGTTTGAATAAATTGATGTAGTTGAATAATTTTATTACATATATTGTTTAAATCCAAAATTAATATCATTAGTTAATTTACAATAGTTACAATTATTACACAGTGATTGGAGTTAACTTTTCTTTCATATAACGATTTTACAATATTACCAAATTCACAAATATTAATAATTCACAAATATTAATAATTTAAAATATACCTGATAAAAAATTGATGAACCTTGTTGATTTAATTTATTTTAGTTGGTTTCACTTTACGATTTTACTTTACCTTTACAAATCTTTTACTTTTTATACAATTGATTTACACGTGGTCTATTGAGACTTATTTAAACTATGTACGATGTTAACACTAGAACGTCAGGACAACGAGAGAGATTTTTTTGGTGACAATTGCAAGGTGTCGAATTTTAGGGCGTTATATTACTAATTTCCACTCATTGGGGGAAACAAATATCCAATTATTTGTCTATTTTCTCGGGCCCTTACCCTCTCTCTTAAATTTGTCTAAAAATGTTGCATGAGTCCCTCTACTTGGGTCTGAGTGCAACATACTTTTTCACTTACTCTTATGTTCTATTATTCATCTTTGTGTTTGTGTATATTAGGGTGTCCGTTATTTCCCAAATTGGATTTTGTTCTGCGAACGCCCCTCAAATTTTTAGGTTATGACCTAAAAAAAAATATCCGACCCAAACCAGCCCTTAATATTCACATTAACCCGTGCCTGAATCATAATACATTTCCTATTTAAATAACATGGGATTTTTGCACTTTTTCCAGTTAATTTTTTTCCACCGAAACCAATGTAGCTAAAAATACTTTGACAGCTGTTTTTTGTAGGAAATTTAACGTTCTTCAAAAAAGATTTCAATGATTTTTGCGATAAAATTTACGGTTTAAAAGTTATTCAACGATAAAGTTGTATTCATAGTTACATTCATCATGTTCCTATTTTTTATTTACTATCGCTTTTTGTTTGCAATAAAATTATAAAGTAACTCTAATAGGTCATATATAAACGTGATTCTACATAAATTTAAGTGTTTAAATAATTTTCATTTTTAAAATTTGTGAATTTAAGGCAATTAAACGAAAAAACTAAAAGCAATCACGTTTTAAATTTATTCGTTTTATAATCTAACGCCATCTGTGAGTAACGTGAGAGAACTTCATATCCTTTGAGTCTATAACCTCTCGGTGAAATGTTTGTTTGATAAACTTTATTAGTGTTAACTCATTCATTAAAAATACTGTTTAATATAATTTTCCAAAAAAAAAATGAATACTTCTGTGAGCTTGAGAAATCCAATGTTTCTTTTGGGAGAACCAACCGAAACAATCAGCGGCAATAAATTACCAACTAACAAACAAGTACTACAATTGTTATTTTATCAAAAAAGAGAAGCAAAAAAAATACTTACAGCAAGTTATCAATTTGTTATTGGAGAAGTTACCAAATTCTGGTTTAGAGCTGGAATTAAAATACAAATTGTTCCAAGATGTGTAAAAAAAGTCGAAAAACTGTATGATAAGTATAGAAACTTACAAAAAATCCAAATCCAACAGTAGAACGCGAGTTTTCTGAGTTTCTTGAAACATTATTTGACATCGCACACGGAAACGTTCAAGATATAGCTGATAGTGAAGCGTTAAAGTTTTTATTTGACCAAATAACAGATAGAAAATATCATTTACGCGTGTGCAAAGAAATTGGTAACACTCGTCAGTTATTAGGTAAGTAAGAGTATTCAACGGGCATACTAATTCAGATGTAGTTTTAATATTGGATATTAAAATACTTTATTAATTTCAGAAAAACAGATATTCGAGCAAGATCATACCAATACGACTCAAACGTCAGATGAAAATATATCCGGAAATGATAATAATGTTAATTTGATAACCGATGATGAATATCGTTCAAATTCAGGTAGTCAATAAAAGTATTTGTTTAAAGTAAGAAATATTGTATGATTTGATAAACTTGGAATGATAATTTTCTTATTAACTCTTTAGATGTGGCTTTACCATCAAGCTCTAAAAGTACTAGTGAGCCGCCTTTGAGTGGTGAGCAAGCTTTAAGTGGTGAGACAACTACAACTACTTCGCACCAAAGCACGCTGTCAATGTTTGAAGTTTAAGGACGAAATTATGAAGCTAAAAATGAGAGAGGAACTATTAATATTTTTACTGAAGACGTTGTGGCTGCCTTAGATACTTGCAATATTTCTTATAGAAATTCTGTTCGACTAATATCAGTTATATCAGAAGCCCTGGGAGTTAATACTAGTGCTTTAATTTTGAACAAAACGTCATTCAATGAATACCGATCGAAATTTAGAAAAGAAGCTACTGAACGAATAAAACGAGAATTTGGCGAGATTGAAGTTGGTCCGGCGGTAGTGCATTGGGATGGAAAGTTGATACCTGATGGTTTTTCTCGCAAAAAGGTCGATCGAGTACCAATCATAGTTAGAAGTAATACCATAGAAAAAAATATTAAGCGTACCAGCGTTACCAGATGGGAAAGGAATTACACAGGCACAAGCAATTTTCAATGTGGTTCAAGAATGGGGATTAACTGATAATATCAAAGCTGTTTGTTGCGATACAACTCCCTCAAATCTGGGAAGTCGAAGTGGAGCGGCGATTATTTTGGAGCAAATGTTACAAACGGAACTTTTGTACTTACCTTGCAGACATCACATTTACGAGCTAGTTTTGAATTGTGTTTTTATTACGAAAATACCAGGTACTGATGGGCCAAATGTTCCATTGTTTAAGAAGTTCCAGGAAAATTGGAGTACTCTCGATAAAACCAAATATAAGAATTTCTTAGATAAATTTCTTAGAAATAAAATTCCTCAGAAATTATTAAAGAAGGTTGGAGAAACAAATGCTAAAGTTCAAGAGTTTTTGTGCTCAATCTTACCTCGAGATGACTACAAAGAGCTCTTAGAATTATGTCAAATTTTCCTTGGCACAATGGATGTTGAAAAAGTCAAATTTTACAAACCAGGAGCCTTTCATCATGCTCGCTGGATGTCGAAGGCGATTTACACTCTAAAAATTTACATGTTTCGAGATATTTATGAACTAGATACACAATTGAGAAAAAATCTATTAGATATTTGTTTATTTATAGTGTTTATCTATGTGCCTTTTTGGTTTACGGTGCCTCGTGCAGCATTATCTCCAAATTTAGATTTGCAGTTTTTAAAAGTTGTTTATCAATACAGAACAATTGATAAAAAAATTTCGGAAGCTGTTTTACATAAATTTAAAAATCACTTATGGTATTTAAATTCTGCAACAGCTGCACTTGCATTTTTTGATCCAAACGTATCAGCTAACATTAAAAATAAAATGGTTATAGCGTTAAAAAATTGTGAAGATTCAGAATGTGATTCGTTCATACGGTATATTATCAATACAGATGGTGAGATTAAAAATTTAGAAAAGAAAGATATTGATTTTTTTATTAATTCGAATTCGTTAAAATTTTTCGATAGATTTGATATTAGTAAAGATTTTTTAGAAACTAATGCTGATACGTGGATTAGAAATGATTATTATTTAAATGTTCTGGCAATTGTTAATAATCTGCAAGTAGTAAACGATGTGGCCGAAAGAGCTGTTCAATTGACACAAGATTATATCAATAGATTAACAACTCAAGAAAATCAAAAACAATATTTGATTCAAGTTGTAAGTGAATACAGAGCGAAATATCCCACTGCAACCAAAAAATGTTTGACAAAAAAATTGTAGAACTGAAGAAAGAACTATAAATATTTTGAAACTATTATTTATAAGCAATAATATACTTTATTTTTTAACCAAATTTTGTATTTATTTATTTTGTTACCTATCTATATGCATTTAGTTTGATATAAATAAAAATTATGGTGGAAATTAAAAAAAAACGATGAATTTAACTATAAATACAACTTTATCGTTGAATAACTTTTAAACCGTAAATTTTATCGCAAAAAGCATTTAAATCTTTTTTGAAGAACGTTAAATTTCCTACAAAAAACAGCTGTCAAAGTATTTTTAGCTACATTGGTTTCGGTGGAAAAAAATTAACTGGAAAAAGTGCAAAAATCCCATGTTATTTAAATGGGAAATGTATTATGATTCAGGCACGGGTTAATGTGAATATTAAGGGCTGGTTTGGGTCGGATATTTTTTTTTAGGTCATAACCTAAAAATTTGAGGGGCGTTCGCAGAACAAAATCCAATTTGGGAAATAACGGACACCCTAATACTCATTGAATAATAGTTTAGCTTCTTTTGCAGCATTCTCCGAGATTTTCATCAAATTTTTAATTGCCACCTGTGTATTTGAGGTGATGTCAAAATCATAATTTTCGATTATTTTATATAAATTGACATCTTCATTTTTCACTTGATGTAAGATTAAAGTTTCTTCATTGTCAACTTTATTTTTGATATTATTTTCATAATTATTTACAGCTTCAAGTATTTCTTCATCATAACCATCATCCATCGATTCCTTTGTGCTTAAGATATCTTGACGACGTTCCTGTTCTTCAATAACTTTAACAGCTTTCTCTAATTCTTCGTCAAATTCATCAGAAATTGTGAAAACTTCTTTAAATGTGTAATAATTATTAGGATCCATAGTGTTCAAAAATTTCACTGATTGAAAAAACTTTTTAACTATCACTTTTCCGATGGTTAAGACTGAAAAGCCTGTTAAAATTTTCTTGAAAGGTAATAATCATCAGATTATTACCTTTATTAGATTATTACCTCTTTAATTTTCAACCCTCCCCACTCACTTGATGTCTCCTTGTTTATAAGTAATTCTTATGAAGTTTTTCACCACCTTTGACTTTCTGATCTTATTCCGCTGATGCTATCTTCTTTCCCATGTGAAATATAGAAGTGGGGAAAAAGGGATAGAAATTGTTTCGAATTGACCAGTCCCAATGCCCTTCACTGTTATTGAGGGTTTCTACAAAAACAATTTTTTCTTCGATATGATCCTCAAAATTTATAGGATCTGGTAAACGTAACAATTTTGTATTTGGATGGAATTTCAATAACTTAAGTGTTAAATCAATATCATAATCTTTTGTATTATAATTTGATAATATGACTACTGCTGCTAAACTTCTGAGTGAAGGAGGGTGTCGTTTAATTTCCCAAGAATTAGGATCGTAGTATTTGGATGGTAAACCTTGTGGGATACATATTCTTGAGATCTTTCCAATTAATTCGAAATGTTCTAATTCTTCATCTACTAATACAGAAAACAGTGTCGGTTCAAAATGAATTTCTACATTGCCTTTCTTACAAGAGTTGCACTGATTTCGGAGCGAATGGTTTGTAACTCCTATTCTACAAATTTCACCAATAACATTTTTGTGAAGTATTTTTGGAAATTTTTTTCTTATAACTTTCTTTTTCTTCTTCAGCAAAACTAATACCTTGAGTCTATCACGAATGCGAGGTAATATATTAAAAGATTCCATGTGAAATGTTGTTATTCAATGTATCGGATATTTTGAATGTACTAAGTTTATTCTATAAAATTTTAATTAATTTTAAAAAAAGTTCTGATTTCCCTTCCTACTCATTTTTTCCCTACCCCTGTCATCACGTGGGAAGCTAGTTAGGAAAAAAGTGGTATCCATGAACTCCCCCTCCACAATTTTTATACTTTTATATAGGTGAAGCTGATTTTCCTAGTCAGTTGTGTTCTTAGTATAAAAACAAGATCATATCACAATGGCTTCCCAAAATTACGTGTATCTATCTAAGTTGATTTCTCTCAATAAATCACAAACTAAACAGCTGTGCGTTGACTTTAGTTACAAAGAAAAAGAATTTAGACCCGAAGTAACGGTTATCAACCCCTCGGGAAGAAGTGAAATAAGTTTAAATATAAGAGAGTGGCCTAAATTATGTAATTCTTTACAAATGATAAGTGATTATTTTTACGAATAAAAAACACCAAATTTTTATCGAAAATTCTGTCAAATAGACCTCGAAGATTTGAAAGTGCAGTTTTCCGAATTTAAAAATGAACGCTGCATCATTTCAAATCACCAAGACAAAAGGATGGTCTTACTCGCTACAACAATAGGAGCGTTAAAGTCATCCAGTTCAGCAGTCAATCAATGGTTGGACTATATACAACACCTTCCTATTAACAATTATGAAAAGGCAATGACAACTACCATCGCTACATACATTGTAGATAATGTAATAAAAAATACCAAAGACGTACCGAAAATTGCTACGCTCAAAAAGTATATCGAATATAACAACGAAGATATTTTTAAATTCAATGAGAGAAACTCAACATTGCTTTCTCATATGAGTGATCAAGGGTTTTCGCTTTATTGGGAACTTGTACATTTCAATGAGGATCTACTTCAAGAGATACACGACGAAATAAATAATCTTCAAATTCAACGCTCGTCAGTAAATTATTTCCAAAACACATACTGTTTCAACAAGGAGGGAGAAGACGTTCCCTATTAACCATCATAAAAATATTTTATAAGAAAATAAAACTTAATTTTATAACTAAAAGCTTATTTAAAAAATACACATATAATTATTGTTCTCAAAATCATATATTATCTAGCATCTATTATTATTATTATTATAATTATTATTTGTATCTATACTATTTCAATTATTTTTGAAAATTACTCAAGAGAAAATAATATCCTGTTTTATAAGCATGAGTGTGTGTGTGAAGAAAATGGTAAATAAAAAAAAAAAAATAATTATTGCTTCTTAAATTTATCTCCCTAATTATCTCCCCTAATCACCTTCCCCTCATCCAAGGGAATTCCCGCCAGGTGCAGGGAATCCCCAGACACCATATGGGGAAACCCTGGCGCCAGACGGCCGCAGGGAGGGGGGAAAATCTGTCTCGCAGGTTGTGCTTCTTACTACTATTGCGAAAATTTGAAATCTAAAAATAGAAAATTTTCTTTTTAATAAATTTCGAAAATTTGAAATCTAAAAATTGAAAATTTTCGTTTTAATAAATTATAAAAATTTGAAAGGTAAAACTCGAAAATTTTCGTTTTAAGAAATTTTAATATCCTCTTTCTTTCTCTCAGGACTAATTTTAAAATACTCAGAATACTAG